GCATGATTAGAAACTAAAAGAGCATATTTAGAAGTAGATCATCATCTCTTAAGAATGGCATTTTCAAGGAAATGAATTTTTCATATGTGCCCATGTGACCCAACACTTTTTCAGCATTCCTTGAATTTAGTGGTTTAGGAGCAGTGGGTTGGTGAGTTCACGTGACATGGCAAATTTACTTTGTTCCTGCCTACAGTGTACCAGAGCAGCTTCACCATGGGATGTCCCACACACCTTTGTTGGTCTTCTGGTCTCCCAGGGAATTTGATGGCCTTGTCTCTGCTCCCCACAGTGATCCCTTTTGCTTGCCACAGCTTTGCCTTCCCTGTTTTTTCAAAATCACTCACAATTTCTGAAGTGACAGTCCCAGGGGGCACATTGGGAGGGCTGTCAGTCGTTTACCACCTATTTTTAAACAACTGTTTTTGTACAACTGAATGTGCACAGATATTTTTAATTTTCTTTCTTTTATGATGTTGGGCTTCTGTGGTTGCATAATTGCACAGCTTCAAATAGATAAAAGGGGAAGACTTGGCCAGGTAATGTCCTAGTAAGTACCCATGTCAAAGTGCAAGGGGAACCAACCAGGGGATCTGACCAAGAGCACCTGCAAATAGGCTATTTTATTACTTTCACTTTGCAACTGTTGAACAGACAGCTGCTAAGGGAAAGTAAAACTGCTAGAAATCTTTGCTTCCAAAAGGGGGTGATTATTTCACCCTTCACAGTGGCATCCTCAGAATTTTGTGTGTGTGTGTGTGTCTCCCATACTTCCCAGGCTATTTTCCTTATTTTTCCTGAATTGCCAGCTATTCAGGACAATGAAGATCACAAGGCTCCTGCTTCTTCCCAACCCTTTTACAGCTGTCAAAGGAAAGCTTTTCTTTTTAAAAGAATCTGGAAAAGCCCCACATTTGTCTTTGATAGGGAAACATATGTAGCTTCATGGTTGTAGATCATTCAGTACTCAGAGCATATTGGGCAAGGGTAAATAAACCATCAATGTCCTTATGATCTTCTGAGGCTCACATTTAAAAAATTATGCCAACCCTTCTTCCCATGAACTCTTCCCTAAAAATACCTCTAGGCTGTTTTTTGCCTAACTAGGCTTTGGAAACTCAAAGAGCCAGATGGGCGGGGGAAGGCTGACAAAGGTCGTGGTGGGGGTGCTTTCTTAATTTTTGCAATGGTGAACCAACAGTTACAAAAAGTGTTAATCACATCCCTCCCATCAACCAATTATTTCCTACAAAAGCAACCCTACTCCTGGGGTGTGTTGGCAAAAGTGAATTTAGCAACATATGCTTGCTAAGGTAGCAAAATTCTTTTCTGATGCATTTGCGTGCCCCACAAATCTGCTCTGGAGGGTCTCTGAACCTCCCAGAACAGATTTGGAAACTACATAAGGGAGGGGGAATCCATTCTGCCCATGATATCTATACCACTGGCAGATGGACACAGTTGGATACAACCCTTTGATTTATTGTCTCGCTTCCAAATTTTGTATTTCTAGCATGCATTATCACTGGCACATAAAATGCGCTATATGGGAAGAATCAAAGACAGCTAAGGATATGTATTAGTCAATTCTTCTAGATTAAATTTTAGCACTTTACAAAGTTACATGGAGGGATGCCAGCTGCAAAGAAAAGGAGAATGATGTCAATAGACATTAAATAGCAAGGATCAAAGTTGCATGTGTGATACAACTGCGACATTATGCAGTTAGACCTCTTCTGGACAGTGCTGGAGGTCATGCATTATGTTATGAGAATGTAACAAGCAGGCAGTTTTAAATAGAATTGCATATTGCTGTTAGTGCTATCTAAGGATATGTCAGCATATTCAAATTCCCTAATGACAAGTTCTATATTCATCACTCCTTGGCAGCTTTCTAACTTAAAAACAGCCATGCTGGATCAGACCAAAGGGGCCCTCTAGGCTAGCACTGTGTTCAAAACAGGGACAATCAGCAGCTTGTGGGAAACTTGCAAGTAGGATGCGAACACTATAGCACCATCCCACTTGTGTTTCCCAACTACTGGTAGAGAGAATCCTACTGCCTCTGCTACTGGAATAACATACACCTGTCATGATTAGTAACTACCGATTGTCACAACCTTCATGAAGTTGTCCAATTGCTTTTTCAAACCATCCATACTGGTGGCCATCAGTACATCTTGTAGTAGAGAGGTGCATAGTTTAACTATGTGCTGAGTGAAAAAGTACTTCATTTTATCTGTTTTGAATCTCACCAATCAGCTTTATGGGGTGACCCTAGCTTCTAGTATTTTGAGAGAAGTGTCTCCCTATCCACTTTGTCCACACCATGTGTAACTCTGTATACTGCTATCACCTTTTCCTTATTTGCCTTTCCCCATGACCTAATCAATTCGAAATATTGTAAACTTTCCTAGTTGGTTCAGCTCCTTAATCATTCCAGGATACAATCTTAGCTCCTGATGTTTGGGGGGGGGGGAACCCTTGCAGTATTTCCCAGCCAGTTATGCTGTCTGGGGAAGAGTTGTATGACACTGCAGAAGATTGAAATCCTAGTCACCCTTTTCTGCAGTTTTTCAAACTCTGCAATTGCTTTCTGAGGGTACAGCGACAAGGGCAACCGTTGGAGTTTTGATTCCTTTCCTAACTAAGCCTATCACACAATTTGCCTTTTCCACAGCTACTGGGATGATATTTCTACTGAGCTGTCTGTTACAACAACAAGAGCTCCTTCTTGGTCAGCCATTGCTACCTTAGATGCCATCAGTTGATAAGTGAAACAGGGATTATTTGCCCCAGTATGCATCACTTTTTACTTACCTGCAACTAACTGCATTTGCTGTTTTGACTCCATTCCTTCAATTCAGGGAGAGCTTTTTGGAGCTGTTTGCAATCCCTTTTTGTTTTAGCCCACCCTAAAGAACTTCAATTGTTCATTTGAACTAATATTATGGAAATTTAGTTAACTCTGAATAATTCTAAATTATATGTTGTTGTTCGTGGTGAAGTCGTGTCCGACCCATCGTGACCCCATGGACAACATTCCTCCAGGCCTTCCATAATTATAGAACATCAACTACAATACTTCATTAAAATAGAACCATCCCAAAAACAACTGCCTATGTGTTGTTGGACAGTTGTTTCCTCCTTCAACAAGCCACACAGCCAGGTTTAGATATTTTGGTAGTATTACAACAAACCATTCATGGGGGGTTGATTAGGCCAATGGTGTCATACTTAAAAAAACAAACAAACAAGAAAAGCACCATGGTTTGCTTAACCCACAGCAGTTGTGTACACCAGCCCAAGTCAACCCATCCATTCACCTAGACCAGTATTGTTGTCACTGACTGGCAATGGCACTCCAGAATTTCTGGCAGGAATTTTTCCAGCCATACCTAGAGATCAAAGCGTAAACCTTCTTCAAAGCTTGCACTCTCCCTCTGAATGGCAGTCTCCAACTTGTTTTAATTGTGTCTAATAGTCATGGGGATGGTTTTTTGATTTTGCACTGTAAACTACTCTGAAGCTCCTTAAGTCAGGTTAAGTCAGGCAGAATGTAGAACTTGTTTTATATATATTTATTTAGATCAGGGGTCTCAAACTCGTGGCCCGCGGGCCAATTGCCGGGACGGGTGGGTCACGGGGGAGGGGCCCTGCGGCCTTCAAAGCGCCTCCGGGAGCGACGCGGGATGAGCGGCCCACCATGACCGCGGTGGTGGAATACTTGATGCTGCCCAGCCTCACCCAGACTCTACTTCCAGCGGCCCCCAGGTCAGTTGAGTTTGAGACCCCTGCTTTAGATACTGGCCAATAGTTGAAACTCTAAAAATACTACAGCATCTTGTATTTCTTACTCATGGTATCTATGTGCTTAGTACTACACCCCTCAAAACTTCATTTTATGCACCACATTTTAAATAAATAAATAACTCCTTAAGAAAGCGCTCCACGTTTAGCTGATAAATGCACATGTTTAATCAGAAGTAAGCAGAATTAAGTTGTGAGACTTAGCTCGAGTAACTAAATATAGGATTAGAACATTAGAGGCAGACATGAAATGTAGGTCACATTTTTATACCAATAAGGTTCACCAGGCTTTTAGATTTAAAAAAAAGCAGCCACCAGGCGCAGAATTAAGATGTGCTCTAGATCTGCATCAACCCTAGCTCCAATTTCTGTTGTCTTCATGCGTGCTATTTGTCACCGAAGGTGTTGTTTTCCATCAAAGTCCTAACTCGAGTCCTTACTGGTTTCCCCGGGTGAGATAAAGTGTCCAATGACTTCAGGATGTCTGGGCAGGCCAAATACCTGCTACCGCTCTTAAAAATGGCTGTCCACAAAGAAAGGCACTCACCAACTCAGTCAACATCGGCTGGCAATTATTTGCAGGATTTGCTCAGCCGCGCTTTACTGAGAGTGAAAGCGTTTCTCACTTTGGTCCAGAACTCCTTTCTCGTAAGTCATTCATCGCGGTGACTAAAAACCAAACTAAAGGAGTTAGTAGGAGAGCCCTTGTGCAACGGAAGGCAGGATTTCTTCCTATTGAAAGCCAGCACTCCACTGTGTTGGAGACAACTTTTTAAAAAGAAAAAGTGGTAGGCGGAGACCACACAGTCAAACCGTAAAGCGGAGTTATTTTATTTTTAAAAAATTATATATATATTTAAAAGCACGAATAAATTCTGCGCCTGCGCCGTTCATGCATCGTGATTGGGCCGGGCAGAGCCGAGAAGAGCAACTCGCCTCCTTACGTAGACTGTACCATTTTTCGAATGAGAATGGGGGGCTTACGACTCTACTTTTTTTCTTCTAAGCAAAATAGCGGGTCATACCATGATCCATAACGCCCAGCGAGTAAAAATAATAGTAGTTATATAGTTCGAACCGAAGGTAAAGCGTAGCCCATATAGAGGACGACGGCACGAAACAGCGTTCCAGCTTTCCCACCCCCACCAGGAGCGTTCCTTCGAGTGGCACGAGTCGCGGCAGGAGGAGGGGCGACTGGGTCTTCCCGAAGCTGTCCCCGGCTCCGGCGTCCCTGCTGCCGCTGCCGCCCTAGCTGCCGTTCCTCGCCGTTCCCCGCCATTTCATCTGAAGCCACCAGCCCAGGCTGCCATCAGACGGCTTCATGGCGTACAGTCAGGGAGGTGGCAAGAAGAAAGTCTGTTACTACTACGACGGTGAGGGCGGGCGGGCGCACTGAGGGGGCGGGGCAGGGCAGGGCGTCGCGTGGGCTTTTGCTCCGTCCGTGGTGGGGGCGGCAGAGGGTCTCCCCGCTCGCGTGCCTCCCCCGCATTTCCACATTTGAGCCTGCTCCTCGCCTCCCCCGCGCCCCATCTGTCCTCGCGCGCCTTCTTTTCTCGGCGCACGCGCCGCATGCAGCCCCGCCCACTACCCCTCTCGCCCAGCATCTCCCCCTTTTTTAACCTATTGTGTCTGCAGCGTTTCCATCTGGATGGAAGAAAAGGCTGGGTCCTTTTCTCACCGCCTGTCTGTCTTGTTCGTTGCGCCGGGTGCATTCTCCTCTTCCGAATTTGCGCGCGTCTGTTTGCAGTGGGTTATGTTAAGGCGTGTGTGTTTGTGTCTAGTTGACACTAACCTGTTTGGAAAGGCGGTGTTGCTTTTCTCTCCTTGTTGCAAATGAGCATCTGAGACTTGCCTCGCGATTCCAAGCATGAGTCCTACTGCAATGGAAGCAGACTTAGTAATAGAACAGACTAGATCTGTTAAAATCGGTGCAGCTTAAGGTAGTTGTAACTATATTGCCCCATTGATTTCAATAGGTTTATTCTAAGCAGGACTAACTCTGGATCTAACCCTCTGATTTGATGGGACTTCGTTAAGAGTCACTGTGTTGCATTGAGATCCCAAGGCCATTTGATAAATCCATGGAAGATGTGAGACTGAAACTCCTATCAAAGCTGTTAATGGAAAACACTGGAGGGATCTCATAGAATATCTATCTATCTATCTATAATTTTTGTATCCTGTCCCATCGCAAGAGCCTTATACTGTTTGTTGCAACTATGGCTCACCACAATGCAAGCAACTACTCCTCAAAAAATATTAGAAATATTTAATATTAGTGGTTATAATATTAGAAAAAAATATTAGTGGTTCAGAAAAGTACTCCTTTAGCTATAGTTTTATTTCTCAATGATGGGTTACATTTGCAAATGTTGTTCCATTGAAAAATCAAGGTACAGATTTAGGGATTTTCAAGAAGCGTGTTTGCAAATTGTTCTGTATAGGTAAAGTGGAGTCTATGCTTTTCATTAAATTCCATAGAAATGACTAATTACACCCATCAAAAAGCACAAAGTAAATGATCAGCCATAGTCAGGGATGAGAAACCTGCAGTTCTTCTCTATTGTAATGGCTACCCAAAGATCATAATGCTAAACTGGTGGCTTTTATACAGATTTAATAAGCAAATTAATATTGTTGGACTTCAGTTCCTATCAGTCCCAGCTTATTAGACTATGTCCAATGGAAAGCCTGAGGTTACCCACTCTTGGAATAAAATAAAACATTTATTAAACTTTTAAAGTTTGAATGGCTACGTTCAGAGCTACCTTAAGTGAACAAAGATATTTGAAACTTGTTTTTTGATAATTGTTTTAAAATAGAAACTTAATTGATTTTTCACCTAGTTTAATAACAGTAAAAGCTGGGTGCCAGAGTTGTTTTTCTTTGTGATCTCTGCACATCACACACATGGACTCTGCACCTGCACAGAACCCGTTCGGAAGATTTCCTAGCTAGATTTGTTTTTGTGGGAGCCCCTCAGCTACCACCCCTTGGTATATTGCGGATGGGTTCCCATCCACTTCCTCAGTTACTTTTCAATTGCCATTGAGGGTGCCTTGGGACTTCTCTCTATTGATGGCTCTTGCTTTCCTTGACTCGTACTATACACTTGTGTGTGTGTGTGTGTGTGTGGGTGTACACATCATGTACATTATATATACATCATGGAGGCCAATATACACTGTCAGGCCTTCACTAAAGGGGCCTGGAAAAGCAGGGTGGACAGACTGTAGGCTGAACTGTGGAACTGTGCTATGTTGCCAGTTCAGTCAGGTCTGTGATGCAGGATCAACCTTATCACCGTGCCCATTATCTGCAGATTAAGGGGCTCATCCAGCCATGTTCCTTCTGTACCAGAGCACTCAGCTGATGCCCAAAGGGCTATGAAGATGGCAGAATTGACAAAGGCCAAGCACAAGAAGACGCCCCAGTTGCACCACTCAGAACCAAGGGTGACTCCACCACATGTGGACCTGGTTCTGACGTTGTACCCAGTCATGGCTACATTGATCTTGGAAGACAGGATCCATGGTTTGCTTGTTGCCAGTAGCCACACCATCATCATCATCATCATCATCATCATCATCATCATAACATTTCTATGCCGCCCCTTGCCGAAGCCTCGGGGCGGCTTACAACACAATAAAATACAATAAAACACAAAAATGACAATATAAAATTAAAATTAACAATATAAAATAAATAAAAAATATAAAAGAAGTTATAAAAGAAGTCGTATAAAAGAAGTCGCCCTGGCCAGATAAGTAAGCAAATATTGTTAACAATTAAAATGATGTTTAAATAAAAAGGTCTTCACCTGGCGCCAAAAAACAAATAACGACGGCGCCAGGCGGACCTCTCTGGGGAGCGCATTCCATAGATTGGGTGCCACCGCAGAGAAAACCCTCCTCCGAGTACCTGCCCTCCTAATTTCTTTCACGGAGGGTTCCCGGAGAAGGGCCTCTCCCGCAGATCTCAAGGGGCGGTCGGGCATATATGGATGTAAGCGCTCCTTCAGGTAACCAGGACCCAAGCCGTTTAGGGCTTTATAGGTCATAACCAACATCTTGAATTGGGCCTGGACTTCAATGGGAAGCCAGTGAAGCTGATGGAGGACTGGAGTCATGTGAACATGATGCCCCGTCCCCGTCAGCAACCTGGCAGCTCTATTTTGAACCAGTTGAAGTATCCGGACCGTCTTCAAGGGAAGCCCCACGTAAAGCGCGTTACAGAAGTCAAGGCGGGAAGTCACCAGCGCGTGTGTCACCGTCGCCAGGCAGTCGTACTCCAGGTAGGGGTGCAGCTGATTAATCAGCTGAAGCTGAAGGAAAGCGCTCCTCGCCACCGCTGTCACCTGAGCTTCCAATGAAAGCTCCGGGTCGAGGAGCACTCCCAAGCTGCGGACCTTGTCCCTAAGAGGGAGTGCAACCCCATTCAGGACCAGGTCAAATCCACCCTCTCCGAAGCCCGATCCGCCAATCAACAGGACCTCTGTCTTGTCTGGATTGAGCTTCAGTTTATTGGCTCTCATCCAGCCCATTACCTCGGCCAAGCACCGGTTCAGCACAGCCACTGCCTCATCTGGATTAGTGGAAAACGAGAGGTAGAGCTGGGTATCATCAGCGTACTGATGATTCCGCAGCCCACACCTCCTGATGACCTCTCCCAGCAGTTTCATATAGATGTTAAACAGCAAAGGGGAGAAAATGGAGCCCTGTGGCACTTCATGGCATAGCTGCCATGGCGCAGAGCCATAGTCCCCCAGCACCACCTTCTGGAATTGGCCGTTGAGATAGGAGCGGAACCACTGCAAAGCAGTGCCTCTGACCCCCAATCCCGCTAGCCATAACAGACCACTGACAAGTGTGCTTTGTCAATCTGCCACTGTCTTGTCCACTCAACATCTGGAGGCCTTCCTGCTGGCATCATCTCACATGGCCTCAGAACACCACCCACATGGTTGATTTTGGTCGTCCCTCTCTGATTGGGATGGAGGCACCTGTTAGCTGACTCTACAACAATACCAGCCAGGCATAGACACAGTGACTCCCCTGGATAGTGTGGAGAGGAGCACATCAGGCCACTAGCAATGGCATCTCAACCTCCACTGCTGCTACCCCTGCCCCCTCCCCCCATCTCACAACCAAGGCTTGACTTGCCTTCCTTGATTCTGGAGGACTACATCTCAGACTCAGATTCAGTCTAGTGTGAAGACCTGCTCACCTCCTCTCCAGATGTGTTTGTCATAGTGAAGGAACCAGGTTTCCCTTCGGAGGACATGGGGTGCTTTTCTAAGTAATTCCTCTGGATGACAGCCATGTTTGGGCTCAAGACCCAACAATACATCAAGGAGGTCATATAGCCAGTGTTTAATGCCATTTGGATGGAGAATGTGGTACCAATACAGATGGAGATCTCAGTACTGGTATTGATCTCTTCCAACTCTCCTCAATTCCCTTTAAGGAGAATTGAAAGACACCAGCACGACTAGCACCAACATCAAAGTGGCTTGAGGGGATGCACCGCATTCAAGAGAAGTCAATCCTGTTCTTGCTTCAGCATCCCAGGCCAAATTCAATTATTTTAGAGTTGACACGGGTGGTTCCAGAGGGCATCTGTGGATAAGGAGGGATGATAGTCGGATGTGATGGCATGCTGGCTGTATTTGTATGTGGCCTTGTGCCTTCATGTCTCTAATTATGAATCCCTGATCACTTTCTACCAACTTTTTCTTTGGGAGAAGATGTACTTTCTTTGTGAACACTTTCTGGAGCAATATAAGGACTTGGCATGAGTCATTCAGTCTGAGATCCTCTGTCTATCTGGTCAACAGATGAGTAAGGAACACCAGCATGTTGACTATGCCTCCAGGGCCCTTATTGGCATGGTGGCGATATGTTGGCACACCTGGCTTCATGTGGGCAGGTTAATTTAGAAGGCATGCACCGGAATAGAACATCTGCCATTTGACAGGAAGGGCCTCTTCAGCTTCAAGTTGGCTACTAAACAAGACATTTATTTGCTTTCTGTCAAACCCAAACATTACCTCATGGAATTCAGGGGAAATTCTCCATCCTGGCATTGCCACCCTCTGCTTCATGGCATAGAAGATTGTCCAGTGGACTGAGGCATACATCTCCAGCTGGAAATCCAGATAATACTCAGTGCAGTAGCACTTGAGACCATCCATGAGGAAATTGTATGCACCAAAATGGAATACATTTCCCATCAGTCATCTATGCAACAAATTCTAGACTTCCTACACACATTCTTCTGCAAGGGTTTGAAACCCTCTTCCATCAAGATTTACCTGATGGTGATCTTCTCATTCCATTCCCCAGTTTGAGGTTTTTGGATTTTTTCACATCCA